AGGGAAGAAGATGGGGGCGTTGTTTAGGATGAGTCTTTTGTGTGTGTGTGTCTACGGAGCAGCTTACTGGTGGTTGACGCGGAGTACCTCTTGTGTTTTTCTTTTCTTGGTCTTTGTTGTTTGTTCTGCTTGGGAGAGTTGAGAAGGCGGGGAGAGGAGAGGTTGTCTTAGAAGGGAGAGGGAGAGGGAGAGGAAGAGGGAGAGAAAGAGGGAGAAGAAGGAAAGCTTCTGTCCCAAAGCGGAAGGGCTGTCTCTTTTTCTTTTTCTTGTTTTGGAATCGGGTTGGGGGAGAGAGAGGAGGGGGGGAAGAGAGGGTTAGGTTGGGTTGGGAAGTAGGCATGTTACGGTACCGGTACTCTACTCGGTAAACTTAGGCTTTCCATTCATTAATCTACTACTTATACGTAGCACTACTGCTTCCAGCATGCGCGTTTAATCGCTGCGGGCTCACTGATCAGTGCTCAGCTCAGGCGTCGCAAGCAAGACGTGCGGATGAGTCATTGGAAATGGAATTGATAGTTTAATGAGTATCAGAGAAGCGCTAGGTAGGTATTACGGTTACGGAAACAGTGGTTAGCGCCAAACTCAGCGACGACGGAAGCTTCCTAGTTCGGCGCTGAAGGCTGAAGCTGTGCGAAGCAGAAACGCTGTACGTAGATCCATGGAAGCCTAAGTGGTGGGGCGCGCGAACTGGGAGTGAGGATATACTACTACTACGTACTTACGGTAATCGTACAAGTACTACTACGTACTATATGTGTGTGAGAGAGAGAGAGAGAGAGAGAAAAGAGTCTGGAGAAAAGCAGGGTGGAGTGAGTAGTTGTAACGTACGGAGTTGGTATTCCACGCACGAATTTTCAAGCCGAATTTTTCCGCAATGCGATCTCGGAAAGATACGTACGGAGTAGTAGGTAGGTGTAGTTGTACAACTACCTAGCCAGCGCAATAATGCGTAGCGAAAGGCCAAGCATATACCTACTTCGTACTTGTAATTACTGTATATGACTCCATTCTACAGCCTGGGAGCTCAGGCTACAGAGTCCTGGATGGTGATCTGGTGCTAATATTAGTACCAAATCAATATCACTAGACTGAACTCGGCTCCGACATTTCCGTGTGCAAGGAGCTTTACGAAGTTGTAATATCAGATCAAAATGTGAGAGGCGGAGAGCCCCCCGTTCGTTGCTTCTTTCTCTCCTCCGTGTTCGGAATTAGAATTGAAAGTGCGGTGTGTGAAATCAACATCTGCTGGTACCTGTACCTACGAGGCCGACAGCTGCCACAAGGAAGTTCTGTAGTAGCTGTTGTACGACGCCCTCTACGGAATTGGTACGAGGCAAAAGCAAACTTTTGCTCTCAAGAGCCTTTTCTTGTGTGTATAGGCTTCAGTTTAATAACGCTCGTACGCACGCAGTAGGTACGGAGAGATTCAGTCAGCACGAGAAAGAAGGTTCTCTTGAAGCAGGTACCCAAGTGGCTGTAGGTACCGGTAGTAGCAGACATGAGGCAGATTCTAGGTACTCCGTACAGTCCCCCCCACCTTGAATACAAATCGAAAGTAAAATTTTGCCAGGCCTCTCCCTCTCTCTCTCTCTTACCAAGACTTGTACCAATCAACCCATAACGAGTCAGCCTTGAAAAAAGCAAGTACTGCTGTAGTATCTAGTCTATGCAATAGGGTCGATAAGGCTTTGGGCTATTCAGAAACCACTGCTCGACGATTATAAGGCTAAACACTGGGCCGACATGTGGAAGGCTAAGTAGAAGCACGTACCCTCGGTCTTGTCCGATAGATGATGACCCACTTAAACTGGGCGAAAAGATTCCGTAAAGTACGGAGTACTCTACCGGTAGCTCTAGGTAGCTCTCCCGCGCGGGAAGGTCCCGCCGACGCATAAAAAAAAAAAAAAAAAAAAAAACAACAACTAAAACCCACCCTGGCCTCCCGACAAGGAGCAATGGCCGATGTCCGATATCTGGTGTCAGTGGTCCAGAGAAATGTCCCCTCTCCGGAATGAAAGTGTTGTGCGTACGGAAATGGCGAAGGTGTAATTTTACGAACCGTCAACGGCTTATCGTAGAGCCGCTCTACGTCCAACTACGCAAGAAATACGAGGCTGCTGCTGTAAATAGAGGGTGAGGAACTCCTGAGCACTCGTGCCGCCGCCCGGTTTTCTTTTTTAGGTCTTAATCCAGATTGCCCCTCAGAGCAACATGTCGAGAGAGAATAAGAAGTATTGCGTGAACAAAGGAGGCTTTGACAAATATCGATATCCTCTACTTATACACAATCGAAAGGGTTTTCTTTTCCCTTGCCTTCAGCAGTAGACCGTATACGAAGTATTAAGACCTTTACTTGCACACAGCACATCTTCGTAACCCCTGGGAGGTCCTACGGTCTAGTCATAGCGTTTTAGATACCAACCAGACGTAAATAACTAATACTACTACTACAATAACCATAGCGGAAACGACATACGATGTCGTTTATATCACGTGATTCTCTTTCTCGCTTAATCCTCCAAAGTAAAGAAGTCAACTCCAGATACAGCACAAGTAGATAGGTGGGGGCCTATCTGCCGTGCCCACGGATGGGATCTTTGGATGGAAAGCGAGTAAAATTGTTGTTGACTAATACTACTTTAAAATCATCAACTCAGGCTTAGGATCGATAGCATGGTATTATATCACAGCAAGGCATGATGAAGACGAAGTATCCGCGAAATAAGAATCAGATAATTGACACTTGCTGTGTATCGTACGCTACTCAGAATACATGACCCCTGATTACTCTATGCAACATCTCGAAGCTCCTCGTCCTCGCATCGCCAATCCCACCCTTCAATATCTTCCCCATGACCCATTACATCTCTCAAGACTGACTGGCGAGGTAATTCGCAGCCTAGAAACACAAATAGATTAGTATTCAACTAATCTCCAAATCAAATAATATCAAGAACTTACTCTCTCTAAATTATAGTCGTACTTCTCTAGCGCAGCCAAAGACTCGTTCCTGTTGTAACCCATGCTCGTCAGATTCTTCAATATAGGATCGTCATGCACACCAGCTTCCGTGAGAGCTCTGCCAATTTGCGGGCGCTCATGAGGTGGACTGGTGCTGGTGCCGTTGGTGGCTTCAACAGGCTTTGGGGGACCCGCTGCTGCCGGGGCTGGATCTTCAAGGCCAGCAAATATTGCGTCCCAGTCTTGGTTATCGTTAATTGCCGCAGCATTGTTCGATGGCTGAACAGTGACGGGTGACGGATTGTAATCTCCAAAAGCGTTGTTTTTACTGCCAGAGCCGTTTCCCTGACTGGCGTGTTCTTGACCTTTAGCAGTTTGAGGGCTGTCGAACATGGGGTTGAAGTCGTGCGACCCAGAACGGTCGTGGCTAAGAGAGCTGTTGTTTGCAAATTCATCATCGGCTTCGGCTTCCTTGGCGTCTTCTAGTCCATCAAAGTCGTCAAAGTCATCATCGAAGGGTATCTTTGGGGGAGCGACCGGCTGAGACGACGAAACCTGCGGAGCTCTGAGAGATGTTTGTACTGTGGGGAAAGAGCTTGGGGGCTGATCCGATGCCCCATCAGTTGGTGAGCTCAAAATATCGCGCGAGGGAATCAATCCGATATATGCCTGTGCCTCCGCGTGCGCTTGGTCCGTAGAAGAAATGGTGTTGCTGTATGAAGGTGGCGAGGCTTGAGCGTTGGGCGTTGGTGGGCTGCTACCCATACCAGCTGCAGACGATAGTTGTGATACAGCAGCAGGTCTCACGGCCAATGTGTCGGCTCCGCTGTTGGGTGGAGCAAGTGCTTGGGAGTCGCTGATCTTTCGGGAATCGCCTGGAGAAGCAGGGGCAAAGTCGTCATCAAAGCCTCCACTCTCACTATCAGTGTCTTCGTCGTCTGCCAACTCTGCGATTGGTGGAAACTCTTTGTTGAATCCAGTGGCAGCTACTGAGCCTGATGCGGAAGAGCCGCCGGTGTTCATGCGTTCTTGTTTCTTGGCGACACCTCCAAACCCGGCGAATGCAGAATCGAAATCATCTTTAGCGGTTCCGATTCTTTCTGGAGCTTTGGCGAATGGATCACTTGCAGTATCGCTCAACGTGCTTCCACCTGTAGGAGTTGCCGCGATTGCAGAGTTTGAGTCGCCTGGAAATGCTCCAGGAACAGAGTTCTTGTGATCAAGTCCTGCGGGAGAAGAGTTTGAATTGCGATCGAGGCTGGGAGACACAGCTCTGGCGGTTTCTGGGGGACCCGCAGCAGATGAGCCTGTTGGTGTTGCTCCTACATAATTTGTCGGTGTATCAACGCCAGGAGAACCTTCTCCGGATCTGCTAGCAGGAGCCGAAACTTGACGTGAGGAAGTCATGGATTCTTCGTGCGAGGGAAATGGTAAGAAACTAGAGCTAATTTGCCTTGACTCGGGAGGCGGAGGTGGAGCTGTAGCTTGAGAGACCTCCCGGTTGGCTGTTGATGGTGGCGAAGATGACATGGAACCGAAACCGCTTCCCCCCGTTGTGTGTGTACGGACCGGCATTGCAGACGCAGATCCGATCGACGGTGAGCGAACACCATCTTTCCTTAAGCCTGTTTGAGGAGCTTCAGTGGCACCAGCCCCAAAGGATGGGCCAAAAACATTCTCGAAGGACCGGTCGGTTTGTTGGTTTCCGCTTGGCGATGCCGCAAAAGGAGAGTTTGACATGTCGGTGCTGCTACCTTGGCGACGGAAGAAAGGGTTGTTGGCGCTCATGGTAGAAAGTGCTGGGCTAGCAACCGGCGCAGGGCTCTGGGATTGGGTTTGCACTTTCGAGGCAGCTGCTAGTGTTTTCGTGTCTATCTCGATACTCTTTTGCAGTTCCTCAGCTTCTGCCTTCAGTTTATCTCTTTCCCCTTCATTTGTTGCAAGCTGCTTTTTGTTAATTGCAACCAATCCTTTTTGTTGACGAGCATCTGACCTAAGCTTCTCCAATACTGGCTTCAATTGTGCAACCTCAGCATTTACAATTCTCATACGCTCCTTCAAATTTGCATTCTCTTGCTGGTCTGCCTGTAATGCAGTGATAATCTGTCGATGTTGATTTTGAAGATCCCCATGACTTGCTTCGATCATGGCAATCTCTGTCTGTAGCTTCTTCGTCTCATTCCGAGATGTAGTGAGTCGTTCCTCCAAGCTTCTGACATCTTTGACTTCTTGCTCATATAGAGCACGAAGCTGGGAAAGACGAGTTTCAAATTCATGCTTTTGAGAACTTGCCTGGCTCAACTCATTTTGGGTGGTAGCGCGCTGTCTTTGGACATCTTGCATCTGCTTCGACAACGTGCCGACCTGGTTAGACAGATTTGCCAGCTCGCTCGTCTCACTTGTGAGCTGCTTGCTGATCTCTGGATCATTGTCACCCAGCAGATCTTCTTGAGCTGATGCCTGTGGCAGGAAAGCTCTTTGAGTTGCAGGGGCAGAACTACTGGAGCCACCCGTTCCTTGATAGTTGAGACTCTGACCAAACGACGAAGATGGCGCGAAAGGTTTGAAGACAGATGCGTTCGGCGGAGCGCTGGCTGTTGGGGATGTAGGCGTCATTCGCCCTCGTGAGCCGAACGGGTCATTGTCCACTTGGCGACTGATACCAAAGTTACCAGATCCGCCGGTTGATAGGGGTACTTGGACAGGGGGAGAGGCTGGTGTCGACAAAGCATCCAGACCGAACAAGTCTTCAGCAGCCGATTTTGGTAAAGAGGGAGGTGGAGCCTCAAACTCGGGGGCTGTCGCAAGAGACGTGGATCGTGCTTGATGCCGCATTGAAGGGGGAATCAAGTTGTTTGGCAGGGCGTTCGGTAACGAATCTCTGCCATCTCGCTTGCCTCTCTGTTGTCGAATGAGGTACATAGCAACCGCAAATTCGTCTCTGGTCAAGTGGCCAACAGAATTAATATCTGAAAGGTCCCAGATCTGCGCAAGCACCTCCTCGGGAAGTTTCGATTCGCTGAAGAAGGGGACTGCCTCGTCACCCGTAATGTAGCCTTTGTTGAGCTTATCCAGACCATTGTAGATGCTATCAAACTTCTGCTTATCCGATGGACTAATAGCCCAGTCTCCAACAGAGCCCGTGTCCTGAGGGAGCTGCTGTGGAGCTGTGTAAGCAGATCGACTAAGTGGGCTGCCTGCCCGGGCTGCCCCAGTACCGCTGAACTGTCTTGGAATGGCTGACATCGCACCGGCGCCCGAAGATTGTCTACTAGTAGGTCGACGCGAGGCAGCTTCGTAGAGCCCAGCGGGAAGCAGGTTTGGTAAAGCCCGGAGAGCGCCAGCTTTGAATGATGCTAGCAGATGCATAGCAATCACAAATTCGGTGACCTGCAGTGCTCCCTTCAGTTCTGTGTCTGCCAAGTTCCAAATTCTTCCCAGGATCTCATTTGGTAGTCCTGCACGCTCAAATATCGACTTTGCTTGTTCTCCTGGGAGGACCCCATTTTGAGCACCGGACTTCTCGAACAACTGCGCATACTGCCCAGCCTTTTCGGGCGTCAAAGGCGGAACTCGAATGGGTCCGGAACCAGTTCCTTGAGGTTGTAATGCACTCGGCGGAGGACCGGGGGGAGCTTGAATGGAAGGGCTCATTCCTGGCACAGATCCACCATCGAATTTAGGGAGAGGCCCAGGGCGAAGGGCGAGGTCGGGCGTGGGATCGCGGCCTGCTTGGTAATGTCCGATCAACCGCAATACAATCCCAAAACCCGCAGGCGTGAGAAGCCCCCTATTTTCCTTGTCCGCGATTTGCCATATCTAAATTCATACACGTCAGACGCATCCATATTGTAGACAGCTACTGCTGGCTTCTGCCATGCAAATAAGAGTGAACAAACCTCTCCTAAAATGCGCGGCTCCAGCCTTGTCTTCTCGAAGAACTTGACCGCAACCTCCCCTGTAACGACTCCGATATTCTCTGAGTCTGCCTGTCGAAACAGCTGTCCAAATACGCGCTTCTCCTCCGGCGTGAGATTCAGACTCGGCGCTGCTGTGTGTCCGTCAGCAAGTAAACTCTGTAATGTATCTGACAACGAATTTCCAGGGATTCGACTGGTGCACACTGATGCTCTAAGCATAGTTGTGACCGTGCCAGTTGGTGATGACATAGAGTGCTTAGAAGTCGAAGTAAACAAAACTCTTACTTGGATCCTCCATAGTTGCGCCCCAGCTTCCGGTGATCGTGGAGTTTCGGGGTCGCTCGATACAACCAGTAAATAGCTTGGTTTCAGTCCCGACACTGGAGCTGGAGCTGAAGCTGAGCCTGGGGATTCCGTAACAAACAGTGAGGAGATAGGTTGGAAGGATAGGAAGAGATTTGTTCCAGACGGCGGAGGTCGGACGGGAGATAGGTGAGCTTGCGGACTACCGGTATGCATCTACTTTTAGCGTCGCTCGAGCGAATCACCGCTAACGCCCCGCAGTTCGTCGTCACAACCAGTCCAGACTGCATTTACACTGCATGATTTCCTTATATCACAGAGACTTGAGATAGCTTGAACAATTGGTTGCATTCGTTGTCACACGCACCCGTAGTAGACGATTGCACGCTGCTTAAGGACAGATTATTTGATTACTGACTGCGGATGGACTACAAAGAGGGTTGTTTATCAGTCTAGTTGAAGGGATTCCTTCGCGAAGTCCACCTTGGAAAGAAGAAAGTCCGTCTAATAGCCCTCTCCATTAACATGATGACGCTTCTAACACTCCAAAGGAAGCATCATGTTGCCGAATCAAGTTCTCATATTTAGCCCCCGAGTATGTGATCCCACAAAAGAGGTAAACATATGACTCAGTAAAGCAACCCCTTAGTACTCGGCCTCCGCACCATCGTCACCCTCTAGAGAATCCGTTGCAACCTCCTCGTAATCACGCTCAAGAGCAGCGAGATCCTCACGGGCCTCGGAGAATTCTCCTTCCTCCATACCCTCACCGACATACCAGTGGACGAATGCACGCTTGGAGTACATGAGATCGAATTTGTGGGACAGGGCGGACCAGGCCTCAGCGATGGCGGTGGTGTTGGATAGCATACAGCTAAGATTTGTTAGCTAAAATGCTTCGAGTAGAATATGTGATAACTTACACAGCACGGTTAACCTTGGCCAGATCACCATTAGGGACCATCTGGGGTGGTTGGTAGCAAATGCCAATCTTGAAACCAGTTGGGCACCAGTCAACGAATTGGATAGTTCGCTTGGTCTTCAGGGTGGCAACAGCACCGTGCACGTCCTTAGTAACAACATCACCACGGTACAGGAGGCAGGTGGCCATGTACTTTCCGTTGCGAGGATCGCACTTGACCATCTGATTGTTGGGCTCGAAACAGGACATGGAGATCTCTTGGACTGAGTTGGCCTCGTGGGAAGCCTTGGCCGCAGAGACGACGGGTGAATAGGCAACGAGAGGGAAATGGATACGTGGGTAGGGGACTAGGTTGGTCTGGAACTCGTTGAGATCGACGTTGAGGGAGCCATCGAAACGGAGGGAGGCGGTGATTGAGGAGACAACTGCGCAGCCTATTAGCAAATTATCAATTACGAAATGCAACATACCACCATACCTTGGGCGATTAGGCGGTTCAGATTCTCGTAGTTGGGACGCTCAAGGCCAAGGTTTCTTCGGCAGATGTCGTAAATAGCCTCGTTGTCGACCATGAATGAACAGTCGGAGTGCTCGAGGGTAGTGTGAGTTGTGAGGATAGAGTTGTATGGCTCAACGACGGAGGTAGCGGTCTGGGGCGCTGGGTAGACACAGAACTCCAACTTGACCTTCTTACCGAAGTCAACGGAAAGACGCTCCATGAGGAGAGCACCGAATCCAGAGCCAGTTCCACCACCGAAGGAGTGGAAGACAAGGAAACCTTGGAGACCTGAGCAGTTATCGGCAACATGGCGAACCTTGTCCAGGACCTGGTCGATCAACTCCTTTCCGACTGTGTAGTGACCACGAGCGTAGTTGTTCGAGGCATCCTCCTTTCCAGTGATCATTTGCTCTGGGTGGAACAAGCTGCGGTATGTACCGGTACGGACCTCATCGACGACATTGGGCTCGAGATCGCAGTAGATGGTTCGTGGGACATATTTTCCTTGACCTTGTGCAGAAACGCGTTAGATGTGTCAGATAGGAGGGGGTAGAGCTAATGTTTACCGGTCTCTGAGAAGAAGGTGCTGAATCCCTGATCAGGTTCGGCGGCCTTGCGCTCCTCGGTCAAGTATCCATCGGGCTGTAAGGGAGAACGCGTTAGCAAGACAGCCCGATCCACAGAGGTTTGACCCCAGGAGTTGAGAGCGCGCGACGCTTACCTGAATACCGTGCTCAAGGCAGTAGAGCTATGTTAAAGATTCGTTTGTCAGTAAGGGGGGTTTGTAGAGCGATGAGGCGGAGCACATAGCACATGAGCTGAAGTGCCTCGAAGTTAAGCTTACCTCCCAGCAAGAGTTTGCGATTTGGCACCCAGCCTGGCCGACTAGAGGGAGAAGACGTGTCAGCGGAACGGATCTCTGTCGACGGGGACGCGAATAGGAGAGCGGTGAGGCGCGTCAGGCTTTGCATACCATTGATACTGATGACTTCTCTCATGTTGATGTTGTTGATGGAGATTTGGGGTTGAGTGGTGAGTGGAGAATGGTGAGCGGATGAAGGGAGAGCTGATGAAGGGAGCGGATGGAGGGTTTCGGGATGTCAGCAAATTTGCTGTCAGGTTAGGGTCGTGGAAGGGCAAGATGTAGGTGGGGAAGCAGGAAGGAAGTAATCAAGGGGAAGGGGTTGTTGATTTTCCTGAGAAGTCGCTAAAGTGGGCCGGGGCCGGGGCGTCAAATGCTCCGTGTACTGACAGGTCGAGGTAAACAGATAGCACGCTAATGGCTCCGCGCTAGGCTCTATTCGTGATTCTGGCCCAAGCTCCTGGAAGTGTCCCACCATCATGAAAATGTCAGTAAGAACATCGGACAACCATGGAGGCATGCGAAGACCGACACATCAGCATCAACATCAACATCAACTGCCAGTCCAATGGGATCAAACTCCAGGAAAGCCTGGGTCGCAAAGCAACGAAGCAACGAAGTCAAGCTGATCGACAACTCTGCAATTGAGTTCAACTGCGTTTACGATGCTCTTTTATCTGGCGTCTCTTCTACTACATGCCTGTGGTATCGCTGCAAATACTGAAAAGACTATATTTCTCGGTCCCAGAAGTCTCCAGGTTCCCGTCGAGCATCCGACTCTCGAAGACTTGCAACTTGAGTCTCTCTCGCCAAATCACTGGTCCTTGAGAACGCACATCCGAGCAGAGTTTCCAACCAACTCTTCTAGCTATGGCCAAACATCTTGGTACCTGCTGCATAATCTACACGAAGGTCGGAGATATGAAGTCAGGATCTGCTGGGCCGCAACAGTGAGCGAGCTGCTTATCTCTAGTTGTCACCCCAGCACTGACTAGTCTAGCAACCTACTTCGTTCCGACTTGACACCTTCGAATTACCTACGGTCATGGAAACTCCAGAATTGATAGCATCACTTGCACAATACTCCGAGACACGGCAACGTGAGGTCAATGAAGGCCAAGAGAAGGATAACAGGGCTGATGGCCCAGTGTCGACACTCCTTCTGAGGATTTTCGCCGCGGCCGACTACTTTACTACAAATAAGACTCTGATGGACAATGTCCCGCCGGTATATGTGGATATCATTCTCGATCCCTTCGTATTCAACGTCTTCCCGCGATCATTGCTCCCCACAGCAACATATCTAGTATTAGTTGCAGTCGGGAGCTGGTACTTGGCGAAGTTTATTAGTGGGTGGATGGAGAATATTTCAAGAGCGACATTTGAAAAGAAGATCTCTTAAATTTGTTTTGTCTGAAGCTTGTGCAGCTACACCTGGCATGTCAAGTTTCCGACAGTTCAAGGTACACCCTTCCCTTCTCTAGTCGCCTTAGCTAGCTCACTCTGCGCAGTATCATCCGCATATCTCTGATAGATGGGCAGATAATGCTTGGTCTCGCTCGTCGTCTCAACAACACTTTTCCGCTGCTCGACAGCACTCAGCCACTTGCCCCATCTGTCCCACACTTCTCCTCTGGGAATCTTTAATCCTCCCTTAAAGTGGTCAAACACCCAAAGTCTCACCGCCCACGGTGCCATGATGAGATCTATCAAACTCACTTCCCCGCCCAGGAAGTACGGCCCAGTAGGGTCCATGGCCTCAGTGAATCGCTTCAGCGTATCAAGAAAGTCGCTGCGCACGGTGTCAATGCTGGTGCTTGACGTAGACTGGTGTTGCAAGAAGCGATGGAAGGCGGGGATGATGCGTGAAGTCACGAAGTCAATCCAAATCCTGGTCTGGGCTCTGGTGTAAGGATCAGAGGGTAGGAGGTGCGGGCTTGCGGATGGGTATGCGTCCTCTAGAAATTCACAGATGACTGTGCTTTCGTAAAGAGGTTTGTTGTCGTATTGCAGAGTTGGCACGAGTCCTCGAGGATTGAGTTTGAGGAGAGACTCTGGTTTATGATACGGGTTGACCTGGTCACCGTCAGGTTGAGGTTGCCAGAATGGGAGTAGGGTTCTGCACACCTCGATGTATTGAAAGGGGATGTTCTTCTCCAACAGCACAAGCAGTACTCTTTGGACGAAGGGACAAAACTAGAATAGTCGGCCACCTTCCCGTATCAAAGTTGAAGGAGAACATACCCATCCCGAGTAGAGTTTCAACGGCTCTTCCTTCTCATGCTCCTTCACCATCTGTGCAGCAGCTCCGGTTGCATGTGGGAAGAGCTGCGAATCTGGGTGATCCTGAGCCATCTTTGCTTTCTTGGTCGACTGATGAGCGGTTCGGAGGTCTTTTCAGAGCTTATCGGAGGTTTGAAGAGCATTTAAGAGTTTTCAACCACAGATGTAATCATCGTTGGATTTCGACGCCCTTCATTCTTAGAGACCGACATTGGGCGCTCGCTCATATGACGCCATACCTTTACCATTTACGACGAGCTTTGCGGGGAACCTACGGAGGGATTTTGAATGGAGCTTGAACGTAGTTGACAGTCGCATGGGCTATAATATTGATGTTGATATCAAATATCAAATATTGAAAAGTAGTCCGTCTAGGACTGAGAGTGGCACCTTTCACATTCACAGCACAATTCAAAAACCGAAAATAATGTCTGGGACAGTCAGGCAAGCGAATGAAGGTACTGCAACTGCAGCCTCGTTCAACTGTGTACTCCGTAGCTGAAGAAGAGAGGCGTGTCGTGGCTGAGAAGTGAGGCTGTGTAGGAGCGATCCTTTGGCGATTCCCAGCTCTCACCCCTCCCTAGATGCGACATAACACGACAACCCTCTATCTGTCTCTTCTCTACTCTCAGCTCTTCAAGTCTTCAGACTGCACGCAAGAGAGTATTCTGCACACTGCACACTGCACACAGCACACAGCATAGTGCACACTGCACACTGCATCGAGCATGACCGGCCCAGCAACGTATTCGCCCCTTCTCTCCTCCCTCGACTCTTGCGCCGACAAAGCTGACAGTTTGAAGTCCTGGCCAGGAAGGCCCTTCATTCGCTCCTCCATCACTACCTGAGGGATGGATTGCGCAGTGGGATGCAAACTCCAGGAAATATTACTTTGTCCAGATTTCAACCGGAGTGTCACAGTAGGTTACAATCTGGCGGGAATCCTTGGTTTCCCAGGAGCTATCTGCTCTGATCAGATGTCGCTTTTGAAGAGCAGAAACGCTTCTGAATATATGGAAACATTTCTTAGGGTGTGGTCTAGGATAGGGTAATGATTTTTGAATAGATGGGATACTCCTACGCATGCTGCCCCGAACGGTCCCACACCCCAGCACACTCCTCAAGCCGTGGACCACCCCTATGGCCAGCCTGGTGGACAACAGGACTCGGAAATCGTTACTCACAGCGATGGAAGTCAGTCTATCAGGCATCGTGATGGAACGACTGAGCCATACTCGGGGGACAGAGGCATTGGCTCCTTCGCCATGAACCAGCTGCTAGGCGGCAAGAAAAAGCAGAGCGGAGGAGGCAGTGGTCTTGCTGGAATTGCGAGCTCGTTCTTGGGAGGAGGTTCAAGCCACAGTGGTGGACAGAGTAGCTCCAGCATTGGGAGTGCTGGGGGCATTGTAGGCTCCCTTGCTGGGCAATTCCTCGGAGGGAAGAAGAAGCAAGATCACAGCCAGCAAAACGCGAACTATTCGGGCTCTACCTCGACAGGGCATTCTTCAGGAGGCGGCTTGATGGGGCAAATCGGAGGCATGTTTGGAGGCGGTGGTCACCAAGCTTCGGTATGTGCTTCTTCTTGATTTATGTACAAGCTGCTAACACTGTCAAGCAGGGAAATAACTACGGCTACAGCTCAAACAACTCTTCTCAAGGCGGATATAGCGGCCAAGCACCACCAACATCCTATCAACCCGGTGGCGCTTCATCTACTCCCTACCAAGCAGGCGGTGCTCCATCTGCACCCAGCTACGGTCAACCCCAGCACCAACAAAGCCACGATCCGTACAGCCAAAACCAACCCCAACCTCCTCACTCGTACACCCCATCCGAGCCCCCCTATGGCGCTCACGCCCCTCCTCAATCTTATCACCAACAGCCCCCATACGGCGGTCTTGAGCACCAAAACTCGTTCGGACAAGGCCACCCACCCCCTCAGAACCAGCAATTCCCACCTCCACCACCAGGAGGCTACCCAAGTGCACCTCAATATGGAGGTCCCCAACACAGCGGTAATCTGCACAAGCCAGAAGGTGGACACCACTTCGGAGGCTCGCACTCCGGTGGTCTCTATGGCAATTCTCAACCTCCTCCTCCGCCGATGGGCACGCACCCGAATCAGTCTCAAGGTGGCTATGGAGCGCCGGGGGGGTACCAAGAACAAGGGCAGCATCAAAATCCGAGATACTAGGCAATTTGACGTTGATCTCAAAGTGGTGGCTGGAGGGACGGGTACGGAATGGATTGATAGCTACGAATGGCTGTTCGTTCATTTAGATCGTTATCCCATTCGTGTGTTGCGGCACACTTTGTAGTCATAGCCGAGGGGGTGGTACCCCGAATTTTAGAACTGGAATCATGAGCATGACTACAGGAGGTACTTGCCCTACTACATGAACAGCTCGATCGGGAAAAGAGATATGCCGAAGAAAAGACCGGGTTCGTGTTCACTGGAATTTTCCGAGCTCACTCGCTTCGTAACAAGCGATGTGTTTCGCTTGCATTCCCGCCACCGTTATCGACATGATTCTGAGCCATCGGTCATAAAACCCAAGGTCGAGCCTGCCTTGCTAATCAACATGCGGGGTTTAGAGAAGGAAGTCTTGCTGGCACGCCTCCTTGGAAGCCCGAGTGTTTTTGATGTCTGTCCAGGCGCCTAGATGCATTTATTTCCACACACACACACACACACACACACCTTCAGACAGCGGGTAAGTCAATAGCCAGCTGGTCAGCCTCTGATCTATCTCCCTCTTGCGCGAGCCCATATTTACCCAATCTACTATCTGGTGATTGTTTGTTTCTGGGCCAGGATAGGGGGGTAGGTAGGTAGGTAGGTAGGTAGTAGGTAGATACCTAGGTAGGTAGGTGGGTAGAGTCTCCCTGAGTTCTGGCTGCTCGAACAGGTTGGTGGGCGGGTGGGTGGGTACCATTACTTTTCCCGAGGGGTGATATTAATAGGGAAGTAGAGGAGGGAAGGAAACAAGTTAAGCACCAGAGAGAGAGAGGGAGAGAAAGATATAGAGTCTGGACACCGATACCCACACCCCTCCTTTTCCTCTTCTTCTGTTTTTTTTTTTTTCGGTTATATTCCTCACTCTATCCCGTTTCCGATGAACCCTCCCTCAGTCATCCATAACCTACCTACCTACCTCTCTTTCGGAGGGTTCCTGTACGACCACCCGACCCGACCGGACGATTTTTTCTTCAGTCAGACTTGCGAGGTGTCGACCCCGTGCGTGTACATATATAGCCGAGACAAATCCGGAAGGAACGAACGAGTGAGCGACTCCTGGGTTGGCCTACATATGCTACCTAGCGGGTTGTGTTCATAGTTAGGTGTGCCTACCTAGTCTACTTACTGCCTCTCGAGTCGAGTCTGGGAGAGGAGTCTTCTCTCTTGACGAGTCGCCACCTTCTCGAATTCTCCCGAGGGATTGCTTCTTGATCCACTCGACACGGATCAGCTAGCAGTCAGGTACTTGGTCCATGAGCTGTAGACTGACGGGAATGGAATCCCTGCCCTGCTGCATGTATACCAGGGAAAGTACTACCTACCGTACCTACTACAGCGTACGTAGTAGTTCCGTGGGCTGCACTGTTGAGATTAAGTCTATTGATTAGTTCTACACTATCGTCCCGGCCTCAGTCTCAACACAGCAAAACTTGATAATTAAAGTACGTACGACGATCGTTCAGTGGCCTCTTTTCCTCCCGAAAGCCAAGGTCACATCTGAATCTTGTCCACCGAGCCCTTTTCCCCGTCGCTCCCGCTATGCGTCGCCCCCTCATCCCCATCTCTTGTCAGCGTCTTCCCGATACCACCAATAACCTGCCCTTTATGCACGGGCACGATATCCTCCGGCACGGGAGGCCCCGTGAAATTCCTACGTCCACTGATAATGTACCACGCTACGCTAATCATCGCGAAGCCCGTGAACACCACACTCGCATAATTCATGCTCGTGCCCGTGACCGGAATCGCCGTGGGCATGCAGAACAGTACAATGGCGAGGGCTATCCAGCAGATGGTCGCGGCATTGATGAAGAAGCCGAATTTTCCAAGAGAGAACGTCGAGTGCCGGACTGCACGACGGCCGCGGAGGAGGGAGACTAGGATGGGAATGCCGTAGGACACGGACAAACAGATGGTGGCTACGCCGGTAAAGGCGTTGAAGGCGGACGTGGATCCGAAGTAGATGCAGCCGAGGATGCAGTCTACGACTGTCGAAAGCACGAGCCCAAGGAGTGGGATGTTGAAGCGCTTGTCCACGCGCTTCCACAGGGAGGAGAAGGGGATGGCGCCGTCGCGGGCAAAAGCGTAGGTGCAGCGGGATGCGGCTGTCAAGGAGCCCACACCGGCAAAGAAAAGGATACCGAGGATGAGGAAGAGCAGGGCGAAACCACCGCCCGCGGAGCCGGTGGCGATCTTGAAGATTAGGCCGATGGGTTGGCCGTTTGCGGCGCTGAGGAGAAGAGAGACGTCTGGAAGGACGAAGAGGATGGGGATCAGGTAGATCACACCCGTGAAACCAGCGGCTGCTACGGAGAGGACTGTGGGCGCAGAGTCAGCATGACTGTCAGGTTGGAATGAGCCACGCCATGCTGTTGGGAACCGAAAGAGGGAGGTGGTCGGGAAGAGCTTACCAATTGCTTTTGGAACTTCCCGTCCTGGATTTTGGACTTCTTCGCACATCGAGGCAACCATGCCGTATCCTACCTCGAGTCAGCATGAATCTCACATGATGGTCTCCTTGGGATACGAACCAGTAAGAGTATCTATATGAACAACCATTAGCAAACGTTTGCTGGTCCTGATATAAGACTACTCACAAGCAGCTTGAAGAAGACCAACGAACCAAGCCCACCCAGACGGCCAACCACTAGCCGAAGCATCGAAGTGAGTAAAGACGAATTCAGCGCTTCTTCGCTCATCTGCCATGACCAATATAGTAACGATGATGATGATGACCGAAGCAGAAGTCCAGTATATGCAGATCTTGTTTATCAAGTCAAGGTACTTGGCGAGGAAGACATTGACGAGAAAGACAACGGACATAACGGCCCAGAAGGTTAGGACCACTTGCCATTGAGTGGCGATGAAATCTGGATTGAAGATTGTAATGGCAGATAGAATCAATTGAGCGCCGGAAAAGTTAATACTCAGTGTGACTGTCCAGTTGCCTACCAGCGTGAACCATCCCGTAGTCCAGGAGACCAAGGGTGCGTAGGCCTTGGTGGACAACATAGCAGACCAGTAATATACACCCCCCGATGTTGGATACACGGCACAGATCTCGGCCAGAGAGGCGGCGATACTCAGTGAAATGATAGAAACAAAGATCCATCCGTATAGCACAGTGACTGACTGACCATCAGTCAAGGAAATCGCCATGGTTGTGGAGAGACCCTGTGTTTTGTCAGTTCCAACAACCGAGCCATGTCTATGTCTATGCCTATGTCTATGCTATGTCGAGGCCCAAGATATTGCCTCGACATCCAATCCGGGGGTTTTGAAAAGCCCCGAGTTGAAAGGTATGGGAGATGAGGAATTCGAACACATACGAATGGGACAGCCATGATAGCAAAAGAACTAATAAGTCGATATGGTCAGGAAGGATGCACACGCGAGATGCCATGATCACGGGACGGGGGACTCACAGTCCGAGAATAGACATCATAGACAGAGATCTAGGAAGTTCCGACTTGTATCCCATATTCTCCAGCGCCGTATCGGCATGGGCGGTCGCACCATCGCTAATAGCAATTGAACCAGGCATGGTGCTGTCGTCGACTGACTCTGTCCTTTCGATATTGGATACTGCGATGTTGCTAGAGATGCAAACCAGAGCCAGGAACCCTCGAATCACGTACAACTATATAAGAACATGTATATGTATTAATATACGTAGTATATATATATATGTGTGTGTACTTCGGCCGGCCTCGCCGTTGGAACGGAGGTGACGAGATAAGCAACGCCTGACTCGAGTGCGGGGGAAGATAACGATAAGTGCAAGATGCACCGAGTAAATAGATTACATCACGCTGAATGGTTGGCTCGGCGTAACTTGACTCGATGTGTGAGATAATTTTTCGACATGGGGATACCGATAGGTATGTACTGTAGCTCCGTGGTAAGTACGTACTATATACGTAGTATAATCGTACCCCGGGTCGGACTACAAGTCAGAGGCAAGAGTTGCGGTTCCTAGTACTGTACTTACTCTTCAGCAATACGGTCAATTTTCAGCGACAATTAGTCGCTTGCCTTGAGTATTATTGTGAAAAATCCCGACCTGGCTGCTGTACCGGTAGGTCAGGTCGGCACCACCAAACCGGGACACCCGACGGGGGTACAACGGTTATCTTTGGGTCCCAGCCTCTGACGCAGGCAAGGGTCCTTAAAAGCGTCTTTCTTAACCGAGCGGGAGTTAAGCAATGCGGCAAACTCAACAAGCAATAGAGCTACGTAGTACGCAGCAAGTAGCAACGAAGCATACGAAAGCCCCCGACCTCAAACGAGACCAACGCAAAGATGTACGACTCCTCTACGAAATCGGCTGGTCCTACAAACAGACCCAAGGGCCAACAGACAGATTTCAGAGCTGAGCTAGTATCCTCTCTTAATCTAAATATAGAGTCAGCGCCACGGCCAAGATTCTTAGCAAAGTGGACGGTGTTAGAATAACGATCATCGGCCTTTGAACTTCTTTAGCACTAAAGGCAGTGTTATCTCAACCTTTGGATACTCTATTCGGCTTATTCTGGCCTTGGTTCGAGGTCAATCTAATGCCCTGATCCCTGATCTGTTGTGCAACTGTGGTACTACGTATTTCGCCAGCAATATTAAGTATCTCCGAAGTATATTCTTCATTCAATAGGCATCGATCGCATTGGCTGTGGCGCGATTTTGTTATTATTATATTATGATTACCGCCGTCGCCGTTCTGCTCGAGCTATTCGCAAGCACTTCTAAAATCACCATGTCCAGGCTCGTAAGATCATTGCCGAACGGCTAAGAAATCCTCGACACAGACCTCCTATTTATTATGTTCGCAAACGCTTCGACCTTAACAAACACGACGATAGTATAAACGAAGGACATTCGTGATGTCAAGTTCATAAGATCCTAGCCATCAAGCGTACGCCAAGGTGGTCTACGCTATACAAGTATTTGATTAAGATAACTCAGTACGATAACTCGGTCGCCGAAATCCCTTCGCGCGATTTGAACGAGTTAACGAAAAGTGGAGATAACACAGTTGTTAACAAAGTTACGTAACTCAGCTCCGAAATCCGTCTAATCCGTATTGATAGAACTTCTTGCCCGTTCAGGTTTAATCTGGGCTGCTCGCTAAACAGGGAACCAAACGATAACCGCTGTACCTCCGTACTTTTACCCCTATAAAATCGATAGAAAATCAACCACCGATCATGTCCTAATTGTTTTGGTATCAAAAGATGCATCGTGTTTAGTGAAGTAATATTTGACTAAAGCAACACCAACCACGGAGTATAAGTACTTGTTTTATTTTAATTTTACAAGTCCGTCCGCTATCTAAGCGTAGCGTGTCCAAGCCGAAGAACACGAGAATCGGACTTCCTTTACAAATACACTTTCTTTACCACCAACTATCATTCAATGAATATTACCTTTTGTAATATAATATATTCAATTCTCTCTTATCCACATATGGTATGTTTTTTAATTGGAGTCATGGTTATTGAGATATTTAAAGCGGACAAGTAATATTTGATTATTCGGGACGGTTTTTCGCTACACTTTATACTACAATGGCAATGTTTCGACTTGCAATGAACATATGTATATATTTATATTTACGATACAGATTTGTATAGGAATATTTTCTGAGCATGTAGAAAAATCTTCATTATGTTTCTGTTAATGGTTTTAGTTTAATAAGTGTTTTGATGAAATTGTCCCGGTTTGGTGGTGCCGATCTGGCTGTGGTCAAGGTAACCGGCGATTACGGTCAATTTTTTGGCGCATTTTCTTATTGATCAGCGACACCATAATTCAACTTGGTACCAATACAGGAAAATAAAGTCGCTAGAACTATTGCTTCAAGATATCCAATCCTTATATCAAATCGAATATAATTGCCATCAAATTCGTCCTTCTTTAGTTTAATGCGAGATTCGAAGGCCGAAAATTATAGATTATAGAAGGAGGCTTGAGCAAAGCATCATCGTGTTCACAAAAAGCAAGCTTGCGTAAGTACATTTTCTCATTAATTTATATCAATAATTAAAAGATCAGTACAAGCTGTGATATATTAAATAATAGTATAAAGAAAAATCGAAGGCGTTTCGGCTGTTAATCGGCGATTCGCGCATCTCTAAAACCATAGCAAACAATAGCAAACATTTTGAATCCATAGTAATTAATCCACTTCTTATTTTTTTGAGCTATAAGAAAAAAGAAAAACAAAGGAAATGGAAGCTAGCGATTTCGATTTTCTAGAAGGTCATATGTAATCAAATATAGCCAGTAATTTATTCATTTGTTCTTATAATAGAAGAGTATTTGATGCGCGCCGACGAAGTTCAAACATAATTGCGTGTCGAAACCCCATTACTTCTCAGTTTTTTCCTGAATTAGTTCTAATACTGAATAACTATATCATATATGATTATCGATCTCTTTGTTAGAAAGTACATCAGAAATATGTTGCAGTCAAAAGAGCCAAAAAGTTGACCGTATTGCTGAAAATTGACTGTATCGCTGAAGAGAGCCAGGAACCGCAACCCTTGCCCCTGAATTGCATCTGACCAAGGGTACGATTATAGGTATACTCACTCTATATTGACAGCGAGTACTCATAAGTAAGTAGAGTCACATGTAGTAGTAAGCTTCCTGGCTTGCCAGTGTGTCAGTGCTTGGTAGACTATCCAAAGGCTTGGGCTCTTCAGCAGAGGTCACTGGATCTGAAAGATGCTGGTAAAAAAAACCCAATAAATATCAATGGAGATTGGCAATCAATGTCCTGTCTACCCCAGGATTCCACGATCTGGCAAGCAGCAATTCGACCTGGACTGTATAGAGAATTAGAAAGTTGGCAGAGAGCAGAGATAAGTTTGCAGAGTGCATGATACTCTGTAAACAATGCTTCGTACGTAGTAGTAAAATGAAAAGGGGCTCCGGTCGGTTGAATGTTTATCCGGAGAGCTCTAGTCCTGACGTACTAGCCTCATCCGATCCCGCCCCATCGAGGTCATCGAACAAGGGAAATATACCTAGTTGTACAGAACTCTCCTCTTGCACACTTCCTGCACCCCCCCCCCAACGTCCACCGTCCACCGTCCACCGTCCACAAGCAGCCTAACAACTGTAAGCAGGTTTCCACTGTACTACTTACCACCTGCTCGCTAAGAGTCCGCTCCTCGGTATGGCGGCTCAGACGAACGGACACGGTGCGAGTAGGCCATCTGCAGCTTCGAGATTCCCAACTGCACCTTCAATCATGACCATGAATGGACACTTTGCGGGAGTTGGCGATGCGCCGACCAAGGAGCAGTACGAACAAGGCATTCAGGTCATCGATGGGGAGAAAGAGTTCAAGTATGCGGCTTGCTGCCAGTCTGCCTCTCATATCACTAACAACTCTTTAGTCCGCATCTTAACCACTACCTCCAACTCACCAAGATTGCACAATCCGGCTTCAACTACCACCTCATATCCGTCTTTGGCTCGCAGTCCACCGGGAAATCGACCCTGCTCAACCACTTATTCGGAACTGACTTTGGGGTGATGTCTGAGACGGAGCGCCGGCAGACTACCAAAGGAATATGGATGTCAAAGAACAAACGCGATCAGGCGCAAGTTTCGGATTCACAAAAGATGGCAGACAACATTTTGGTGATGGATGTGGAAGGTACCGATGGTCGTGAGCGAGGAGAGGACCAGGATTTCGAAAGAAAGAGCGCACTATTCGCCCTGGCCACCAGTGAGGTTCTGATCGTCAATATCTGGGAGCATCAGGTCGGACTGTACCAAGGTGCCAACATGGGATTGCTAAAGACAGTCTTCGAAGTCAACTTGCAGTTGTTTTTGAACGATAAGCAGTATGCACGCATGTGATCTCCAGATTGGCGACAAGCTTCTAACATATCTTAGGTCTAACCCTCGGTCGCTCCTATTCTTCGTCATTCGCGATCATATCGGAGCCACTCCCCTTGCGAACCTCCGCAACACCCTCATCGCTGATTTAACAAATATATGGACCACTCTTTCGAAACCAAAGGGTCTGGAGAATTCCCGGATAGAAGACTATTTTGATTTCGGTTTCGCCGCATTACCGCACAAGATCTTACAACCAGAAAAGTTTCTGACAGAGGTAGAAAGACTTGGATCGAGATTCAGAGCTGGCCACCGAACGACGAAGGAACACGGTTTTGACGCCGCCCACGAACTCGAGGGTGGCATATTCCTGCCTGAGTACCACCGCAGAATTCCTGCCGATGGATATTCTGTATATGCGCAAGGAGTTTGGGATCAGATCTCTTGCAACAAGGACCTTGACTTGCCTACACAACAGGAGCTCTTAGCGCAATTTCGATGCGACGAAATTTCCCGGGAGGTCCTGGAAGCCTTCGATGTTGCCATACAGCCACTCGAAGAAAAGCAATCCGACGCGGTCAGACTTGGAAAGCCTACCGTACTCGAGGCGTTGGGCGCATCCGGATCCGAGGCGCGTCTCAAGGGTATCAAGGCCTTCGAAGTTGAAGCTAGCAGATATCACAAAGGAGTATACGCAAGGAAGCGGGTGGAGCTGGAGGGAAAAATTGATACCCGGTTGAAGGCTCTGTACCACGGACAACTCACTGCAGCACACAAAGAAGGTGTTGCCTCTTTTAGCGATGCTGTGTCAGCAGCGGTCAAGGCTGGCCAAAAGAAAGGGGCATCTTATGAGTTTGCCGAGATCGTCGAGCGCGAGAAACAAGTTGCCCTTGGGCATTTCGAAACTGAAGCTCGTAGTCTTGCCATAGAAGGCGTTTCCTGGACCAATTTCAAGCCACAATATGGGCTGTTCGAGCAGGAGTTGAACGAAGTCAGCTCCCAATTACGAAAAGAGGAAATGCGCCGCCTTGCTACCAGAGTTGAGAGATGGGTCCGGTCCAGATTGGGTGATTCGGTAGGACTGGAGTTCAACAAGTTGGGATCAGGTCGTGGTCGAAGTGGAGCGCCTGAAATAGGCGAGAAACCCGCAACAGAAAAAGACCTGTGGGATCGAATATGGAATCTCTTCGTGGCAGCCGTCAAGGAAGCCGAAACACGTTTCATTGAACGAGCCAAAAGCTTCGACGCCGACCAGGACGAGATTGAAGTCGGCTTATGGCGACTGAGACGCAAAAGTTGGGGGGTCCTGCGCGCGAGGATTGACGAAGAGGTTATGGAAGGCAATATTCTTCTCAAGCTTCGCGAGAACTTTGAGGACAAATTCCGCTATGATGAAGCTGGCGTACCAAGAATTTGGAGGCCAACTGATGATATCGAGGGGATTTACACGAAAGCAAAAGAGTCAACTCTTACCCTCATACCTCTTCTTTCTCGGTTCAGACTTGCTGAGACCTATGGATCCCCTGAACTCCCAGACTGGATCGGAAATGCGCCAGCAAGTGTCGATCCAAAGGATGAGGAAGACCTCACTCCGATCGGCGGAGTAGACGAGGAAGAGGGCAAGAGTCTCGAGGAAGAAATGACGATTTTGAGCGAGGCCAAACGTCAAGACCTCGTCGTAAGATTCAAGAAGACAGCCGATGGTGTCTACGTTGAAGCAAAGCGTAGTGCTATCGGCGGAGTTGCTCAAGTTCCACTCTATTTCTATGGCCTGCTCTTAGCACTAGGGTGGAACGAGGTTGTTGCTGGTCAGCCACCCTATTCCCCAAAGCTCAATTTCTGGTACTAACCTAACTTAGTGCTCCGCAACCCCGTCTACTTCATCTTCTTGATCCTTCTCGGCGTTGCTGCCTATGTAACATACACCCTGAACCTCTGGGGGCCTATTCTCCGTATGGCTAACGCCGCGTCATCGCAAGCCGTCGAAATCGGCAAAGAGAAGCTACGGGACTTTCTGGAGAGCTCGGATGCGGGACGCCAGGCCCTGGCTATGAAAGGCAGGGACGATGACTCGGTTAGCTTGAATACTCTGGATAGTAGGGGCAAAAAGAAAACTGCCGAGGACGAAGACGAAGACGATGACATCTAGTTTGACTGTCACGGCTGTTCTGGGTATGATTATGTATGTAGATTGAGGGAAGATTAGAGCTTAGCCTAGCGTGTACTTTACAAAGGCATTCGCGGTGAGTGTACTCAAGTACTACGGTGATATCTGTATGTTACTCTCGGGGGTCTGTCTAAAATCCGCGGTAATGATGGCTCCGGTACAAACGTTTTTTACTGTGCCGTGCAAAGTACCCCGAATGCTTTATCATAAAATCAACAACTCTCTACAAGAAGCTTTCTGATTTGTCATTTACGAAAGTCGATTGAGAAGTACCTAGTGGCCAGGCTTGACACGACTTGGGGATTGCTGGTTCGCTTACGACATGCTACGCCGGGGAAGAGGCCCTACTGTCCGACGTAAACATCGAGCATTGTTTCTCAACGCGGAATCTCCTGAGTGTAACCCTCCAAGATACGCTACTGACTGATAAGCGGTGAGCAGAGTTCCAAATAGTAGCCAGCCATCCCGGTGGAGGAAAGCAAAAGCCAAAGGGGAACTCGCTCTCCTCCCCCCATGCTGTGGGTTGTTGAAAGCCCCGTTTTCCAGAGCACATGGAGATATACATGCGAACCTCGTTTCGTCTCGTCAAGACTCATGGTGCGCCCTCGAACGTCCTGCTAGCAACTACTAGCAGGAGCAGATGTAAGGCCAAGCAAGGTTGCAGAGGGAGATTCGCTTGTTCTCCAGGTCTTGATGGTCATATCCTAGACCAACAAGTCGGCTTTCAATGCCAAGGATTGCATTTACCATTGGACGATGTTCCAGTGTTCGATAATTCATGAGCAATTCCTCTTCTCGACAGTTATTGGACCTTATTGTCCAACTCCCTAGACGCCTTATTCATGAAAGCATGTAGGACCAACTCTAATCAGAAAACCTCACTGCCGACAGGCCTCCCAAACCAGCTTCCCAGTTCATCGACCTCCTTATCTTTCCCGGCTGAGAAGTAATCTGTCAACCGGCTCGTCTCGTCATCCTCCTCGACCGGCCACTCAACCTTGGCAGCCGCCCCTTTGACATCCAGCATATCCTTCGCTGTTCCCCAACTGAACCGGCATTCCGGTCCCCACCCAAAGACAGGGTCCATGCTTCTCTTCAACCACGACGTACACCTCGCATCACTCGGGTACCCAGAGCCCCAGGAGCTCTCCTCCGCAGCTTTCGCCATCTTCGTCCCCTCCATTTCCACATCCTCTTCTCCGTCTGACGTCTTGGAAAGGTAACTATCATACAACACTTCCATCGCGGCATCTCTCGTCACTTTGGCGCACACACTGGCAGCGCTCACACAGGGGTAGAGACTATCCGCCTTCTTCGCAACCGTGACCTTAGCCGTCGGGAATATCCTCTGCAGTTTCCGCTGATACGTCTCTGGGTTCCCAATCGTATCAATAAAAATCTCCTTCACATTCACACCTCGCTCGTAAACCCCCTTGATCAGCATAATCGTAGCGTCCATGGCCTGGGCATTGAGGTTATAGGTCGCGGCCGGCTTCATCATATTCGCGCCGATGTCTCGCGCGGACATGACTTCAACCGCCCATCCGCACTGCGAGTGTAGATCTGTGTCGGGGCTGCATAGCTTCTCCATGAGATTGGAGCGGACGGTGGGGGTCAGCACCTTGCTGTCGTCGAAGTGGTGTGTATCCCTCAGTAAAGGGTCGGAAAGCGGGATAGGGAGGTAGAAGAGCCCGTAGACCATAGGGCCGAGGACAGGGCCCCGGCCGGCTTCGTCGACGCCGAGAGCGCAGGCGGGCCCGGGGTCTGCTTTGGAGGAGTCGGTGAGGTGAGCTGGGTCGGGTGTTGGGAGGAGGGAGGGAGGCACCGGGGAGAAATGGGTATATGATGCGCCGGCGAAGAGGAGGTCGGAGTTGATCGACGGTGCGATAAATACTTTAGCTGCGGGAGCCTCGAGAGCGATATCGTCTTCCACTTGGGGGTCTGCCATTGCTATTTTGAGTGTGAAGTTCAGACATTCGGGTTCTGATCGAAGATGTTTTCGGGAGACGCGTCAACACTTGTGGGAGACGCGACTCAGCCGCTTGGACCTCCTCACTTAATAAGTCCTTTTAACCGATGTTGCCCGAGCCGAATTGAACTGTGGTAGATATCTAGACTGACTATGAAGGAAAGCCAGATTCAAATTTGCTGACCTCTAGCTAGCCGCTTCAGGTTTCCAAAGCTCGTTCCTAGTATTACTTCTGATACTTGAAACCAGACTCGACTCCTACAAACGTGACTGTTTCAAAACTTCATATTTCTCACGGCTCGCAACCTCGCAAATTCAATCCACATTCAGAACATCGTGGCCGGCTTCTCACTATTATCGTGCTATCCAGACATATTCCTACCTACCACCACTTATCCCAGACACAAACAGCAGCATCGATAGTCACACAATGCTCAAAGGAATTGACCCTCTCCTGACCCCGGAGCTTCTCCAAGCGCTTCGAGCAATGGGCCACGGCAACACGATCGCAATTGTAGACGCAAACTTCCCGGCAGCCTCAACAGGTCCCCCCGTCATCCGTCTCGCCGGAGCCTCGGTCACCGATGCCGCCAACGCGATCCTGTCTCTGATGCCTCTCGATGATTTCGTCGACGAGGCGGCTTGGTGTATGGAGGTGGTGGGCGACCCTTCTGCCGATCTGCCTGTTTATAAGGAGTTCAGAGAGTCAATGCTCGTAAGCAACGTGCTTGTGTTTGTTTGCCTTTCTAAAAGTCATGGGAGAAACATGTTGACTTTGAGGTTGCGGTGTAGAAGCACGAGGGTGGGAACTTTGAGCTGAAGAAACTTGAGAGGATGAAGTTCTACGAACAGGCCAGCAAGGCGTTCTGCGTTGTGTCGACTAGTGAGACACGGCTGTATGGAAACCTGCTGTTGAAGAAGGGGGTTGTCAGGGCATGACTTGAGCATTATACATCACGCCCTGAATATACAACTCGCCCTTAACGAACCAAGCCTAAATCATTATGTCGTGTTCGTTGGTTGGATGGGCCTCTCGTTCAGAAGAGAAGCGACATGTTGTTGACGAGAGAAAAAGCCTAAAGCAATGCAAAGAAAGCTACGATCTCCAGCTCTAGAGCAATTGAGTTGGCGCATGCCGTTGCCTAAATTCGGATGATTGTATAATCAAACCAGCCAAATGATTGTAAATACCTCTGGAACTCAAAAATCTGAAGCCTTTAGTGTTATGGTGCGGCTTGGGTATTGTGCACTTCGCACTTTGCATTCTGCATTATGCACTTGTACTTGCAGCAGATAATAGTACAGTAGGTAGTAGATTGGTTTTAATAACTCGCCACTCCCTTCCAGTTATAATACAAAGCTAAAGCATGTTTCAAGGATGCTCGGGTAGATCCTGAGTATTAATGTCCAAGTCCCCAGGATTTTCAGTACTAATCCATCTGCTCCAATCAGCAGGCTTGTTCGAATAATCTTTTAGGGCTTCCCTTGTTTCAAAGCATGTACTCTTTATACCCAACTCTTCATTTTGCAGGTAATAAGTTGGAATGAGCATCTGCATATCCCAACCGAAATTTGGGATCCTTGAGAAGCGTATTACTTTGTCGGGGTTTTTCCTTCTATCAAATAAATTGAGGATAAACTCCCTGATAGCGTCTTCGCCTCGGTTCCATAATGCGGTCATCAAATACACACCATTCTCAATCGGCTTTGGCCAAAGTTCTGGGATATAGACTTTTTCCACCTTGTCCATCTTACCCCTATGGGCATCGGCAACACAATACCATCTGGGTCCCACCTCGTCCCAACCCCAAGCTTCAATTTCTAGTCCTACATATATTATTAGCTTAGCGTAATAAGTGAAGATTTAAAAATATAAATTAACTTACTAAAGTAAATACCTTCTCCTATCATACCTTGTTTTTGCAGACCGAATCCAGATAGAGTGCGGAAAGAATTGATATTCATGGCTTCTTCCTATAATCCGCGTAATTAGTATAGGCTCATATTATATAAATCAAGTAAAACTTACTGGGGTAACGGTTATATAGCCGAGAAGTTCTCTTATTGCTTGAGCTCTATTAAAGAGAAAGCTCGAGGCTAGCAAAATTGCGAAAAAGGATTTCGGTAATAGAATCATGGTATTTGCAAGTATCCGAAATAACCTTTAAATGTTTTTGAGAGCTGACGAAGGGGAACAAGCTTGCCAAAGAAGCGGATAAAGGAAAGGATTGTCAATTCGTTCTGAAGTAGAAGAAAGGATATATATCTCTCCTCTGATTGATTCTTCTCTATTCATCTTATTGATATTAGCAACCAGTAAGTATTTTTATTTTTCGTATTTTTATATGGAGGATTGTCCTAAATATAATCTCCCCCCCCCCCCCCCACAGGTGAATATATATCGAAAGTATAATTTTGCAAAGGATCTTACCAGGGCTTAAACCGATCAACTTACTACGTCGCAGGCGTAAGTATTACCCCTCGAGGGTATGGAAAACAGGGGGTTTAAAGTGGAAACTAAACTTCTAAGGCACCCTCGAGGGGTAATACTTAGGCCTGTACCGTGGTATAAGGATTCAGCTTTGAAAAGTATCTTTGAGCCAGTATTTAGCCTATACAGTGGAGTTGACAGGGCTTTGAGCCATTAAGAAACCACCGCTCTATGATTTATGGGCCTAAACTGGGTCCGACATTTATTCATGGGGGGGGATAGTAGCGGGGAGAGTAAAGTCCAATTTGCGCTTACAGTAGCTACTGTAACTATTCTCAGTACTACCTCCCTCTTGACTAAAAAGCAGCATCCCAAGAGTGGCACGACCCAAAACACAACAAAAGTCTATCCGTGCCGCCCTTGGGATGCTGCGATACTACGGTAGTAGTACGCTTTGGCCTGACTCCAAGCATACGCTAGAAACTGGTTGGATCCTCCGTAAGTACCAAGAGACCGATTAAGAAGCTTGCAATCGTCAGTATCCACGGATTTAATTTGAAAAATATCTGACCTGGCCGCGCCACGTCGGTATCACCAACCCGGGACACCTGGGTACTTTTGCCCTTAAAGAATTGATAGAAGATCAACCACTGATCATATCGTCATTATCTTTGTGTAAAAAGATGCCGCGTACTGAAATTATTGTTAATCAATGAATGCAGTTCCAACTACATGTAGTTTCTTACTATTTTGGTTGATTAAAGTAGTAAAAATTGTACTTTTAATGTACTTTTGATGTTATAGGTCCGTGGTTTTCCCTTGGTGGAGGGAAGCGATTCCAAAAGGTTGGCATAGTTAGTGGGTCGATTATTTCCCATGCCTCGAAGAAAGTGGAGTTGTATTTCCCATGCCTCAACCCACTTTTTGAGTGGGCCCGCCCAGCCAAATCTACTCGCTGCTTTATACAGGAAAAATGTTTCAGTAATGCCGCTTATACTAGAATTATTTTCTAAAGTTCTCGATTGTAATTTTAAAGCTATTCACATTTACAATTTTTAAAAAAAAATTAATAGAAATAAATAAATACAATTCTATCGACATGTGTTTTTAATTACAAATATTAGCTTAAGAATCAATTCTAAAAGATACGCTATCCGCGCAACTAACGGTCTTGTATAACGAACACGATTAAAGCATATATGTTTTCTTTATTATATCGATACCGTAGCTTCCTTAGTTCGAACGTCGTGGTTGCAACGAGCGCGCCATTTGCATATATCGTTAAAGTAGTATACCTATCTCACATAAGTCTTCTCGTTATTCGGACACTTAAGCTCTTATCGCTCGTAAATAGCCTGATTGAGTGAGTACTACGTCTTTAAAAGCTTTCAGATTGTAAAATACATCGCCTTGCTAAATTAAAACAGGTTTCTTTTAAGAATCTTTGAGAAATAAATCTATATCTATACTAGAATCGAGTATACCGAAGCCGAGGTCGTTAAATGTAGCGTCAAGCAGCGAGTATATTTGGCTGGGCGGGCCCACTCAAAAAGTGGGTTGAGGCATGGGAAATACAACTCCACTTTCTTCGAGGCATGGGAAATAATCGACCTAGTTAGTGGATCACCCTAGGCCGATACTTAAGATTGAATAGGATCTGAAAACAAACGATTTGAATTATTTAAATCGTAGCTAGAATAGAATTATTTTAATAAATTAAATT